GAAAGTCTAGGGCAATGCTTCTCTCCCCTGCTTCGAAATTGACATCCTTCCAAGCTTCTGAGACTAGAATAGTCTTTCTCAACCTTGGCAACTTTAAGATTTGTGGACTTCAGCTCCCAGAATTCCCCAGCATGCTGAGTTGAAAAAAACTGGATTAGATGCTCCTTGCTTCTTCTGGTTTCCAAAATTCAAATCTATTCACCAATTTCTTACGCTTGTTTCTGTCTTCTACTTTTTTATTTGAAACCTTGGGACTTTCTGTGGAAAAAGTAAGGCAATGACATCTAACATTAAGTAGATGCTGCTTTTTCGTAAGCACATTTAGACACACGCACAACACAACATTGGAGAACATCAGTTGCCGCTTCATACCATGATTCTTGATCTTAATTTAGAAAGACCTTGTTGGGAAAAATCAGCACTTAAATTGTGCCAGGGCAAAAACTCACTTCCTACCAGAAGATATTTGTGTTTGCTTCTTTTGAACAGACAAAAGGAAATCAGCCTATCAGAGGATTGCAAAGGATATGATTCTTTAATCCTCAAGAGCCACCTAGTGGAAGCTTGTTCATAAATGCACCTTGCTTGTTTCAATACACAACCTGCTTGAGGATGTCTTAAAATAGGTAGAGTCAGAGGTATAATTTGGTTAAAGCATGCTGTTGCTGCTATCAGCCTTTTTGTCCTTGAGAGAAAAAAGTTGATTACACTTTCTAGTTGTTTACTAGAAGCAGACCAGTGATCTGAAGAATGGAGTTGAAATCTTTATCTTGAATTAACTCACTATGCATTAGGTGATTTTACCAATATTTTGCCTGAGCAATGATAGACTGCTAAATGTACCAAACCAGTAAACACTGTATGCTTTTATTAAGGACATTTCAAATCAATGAGTTAGGAAGTGTAGTAGATATATTCGTCATTGAAAGTAATGGTTGAAATGTATAGCAATCTATTTGGGATGTGGCGCCTTAGGACGGCATCCATTAATACTCTGTCAGAGTATCCTCATAGACTGGAATAGACATGGTAACAGATCAGCCAATGGGGACTGCTTGGAAACTGAAACATAGTATTTGTTTGTATGGGGTCATAAGAGACAGTTTGAAGTCTGGGAGTGGCTTAGACTTGCTGAACTGTATATAAAAGTTGGTTTGGCTTCTGTAACTTCCTTCAGCTTCTGTACAATGTAGGCCTCTGTATCTCTCTACTCTGTAATGACTTGCTTCTATGAATATTTCTTTAGTGTTCTGCTATTTGGTATTGTATATAAAGACATTTCTTATATATACCATATTTTTCGGACTATAAGACTCACCTTTTTCCCTCAAAAAAGAGGCTGAAAATCTGGGCGCGTCTTATACACGGAATACAGCATTTTTTGCCTCCTGAAACCCCGCCCCCTTTGAAAAAATGGCTGTGCATAGCCTTTAGGAGGCTTCCAGAGTGCTCCTGGAGGCTGTGGAGGGCAGAAATGAGTGAAAAACAGGTCATTTTTTGCTCAATTTTGCCCCCCTAGCCCCCAAGGGCACTCTATAAGCCTCCTAAAGCCTATGCATGCCCTTTTTTTGAAAAAGAAATGGGCCCATTTTCCCAAAAAACAGGCCATTTTAGGGAGGTCTGCAGAGTGCAAAAACTTTTTCTTAAAATTTGTTTCTTCAAAATCTTGGTGCGTCTTATACTCTGGTGCGTCTTATACTCTGGTGCATCTTATACTCTGAAAAATATAGTAATTGAATCCTGTTGAAGTTCATTTACTTGTGTGATTGCTGGATGTGCTGCTGCAACAAAAAATTCTGACATGCTCCACAAATGAAAAGCATTCTAACAGTAACAAAGGAGGCACCGTTCAGCTGTCTCTCTCTACTGCCCAGTGTTGCATCCACTAACTCTGCTAAATAGGTTTTCCCAATTTTCTTGGCTCCTTAATTACATGGGATCTTGCCCATGATTGGTGGCTACAGAGCTTTAGATGTTTGCTTCCCATTCACAGAGGATGGGGTAGAGGGCACCTTAAATCATTAGTGTGATGTGAGGATAAATTAACTTAAATAAATAAATATTTATCAATACCTAAAGAAGCATACTAAATATTGCTCTCCTTTATCTTAATTCTACTACTGTTCTTGTGACTGAAGTATTGCAGAAAGACAATATATTTCAAGGATCACTCATTTAAAAAGAAATCCAAATTTAAATAGTATTTCTCTTAAAACTTTTCACTAATTGGGAAATAAGAACAGCGTAACACTCTGGTTCCCCTTTGCATCTGACATATTTAAAGTAGAGGTGAGAAACATATGGTCTTTCAGATATTCCCAGAAGGTCCAGCATTCCCAGCATGGTCAGTAATGAGAGAGGCTCAAAACTGCTCAGGACATCTAGAAGGCTTAGGTTCCCTACTCTGCATGAAATTTTTAAAAAGCTGTGTAATAAATTGTACAAGCATACAGTAAGTATGCCCTATGTCTTAAATGTGGGATATGAAAGGATGGAAGATTAGTATTCCATGTGTCACAAGCCAAAAAAGGAAAAAGTTGCTTTGTAAAGTCACCATCCCTTTTCAATTTCTGCAGAATCACCCAGAAGAGGCTTTGAACATAGAAAGCAAATTATTCCTTCTGTTTTACTCAGAAATATAGTAAAACTTTAAACAAGGAGTTCTCATTACATCACATTTCCCTTAGCAACCGAAGTTAAGCTTTGTGGCAGAGATTATAAAATAGAAAGTGGAATGAGAAGAGGCACCTGAACTTTATCTGAGAAATCTGCACCCAGCAGGTCAGAAAAATACATTCTAAAACACAATTCCCAACCAAGGCTGATATTAATCCCCTGGGAAATCTTCCAGTTGCTTTTGCTTTTTTTATTCAAGTACTGGATGCAAGATAGCTTCCTCTGAGATCCCATTTGTGTGTGTGTGTGTGTGTGTGTGTGTGTGTATTCATAGTTAATTTTTGAAGTTCATATTATATGAATTAACCAACTGTGCTCGGTAAATCATGTTTGTAGCTTACTGTGCTACATGATCCCTAATAATTGAAATTTATTCAGTAAATCATAGTTTATTAGTATTGATTAATTATGTGCTATCAGGTCAGTGTTGATTCTTAGCAACCACATATTAATATACAAAGTACAAATGGAACTACAGAATTCTACTTACCTTATTTTTCGGAGTATAAGACGCACCTTTTTCCCTCAAAAAAGAGGGTCAAAATCTGGATGCGTCTTATACACTGAATACATTTTTGGCCTCCCAAAACCCTGCTGCCTTCACCAAAATGGCCATGCATAGCCTTTAGGAGGCTTATTCAGTGCTCCTGGGGGCTGGGGAGGGCAGAAATGAGGGAAAACAGATGTTTTTTCCTTGTTTTTGCCCCCCCCAGCCCCCAGGAGCACT